TTTGTCTCGTACGTGCATAGAGAATATCCCAGCAAAGTTTCAGCCTTCTACGTTGCCTGGTTCGCGAAACAGTTTTCCGCCTACAAATTCCTCTGGGAGTCTCGTGCGCGGGGTATAGCACTGCAGAGCAAAAACGCATTAAAAAACACTGCTATAGCGCTGCACAGCAAAAACGCATAAAAAACCGGCGTAGAGCACTCAATGGGCTACAGTCGCATCTATCCTTAACATCAGGAATTATGGGGTAATATCTTCCAGATCCGGAATCTCTAAACAAGCTCCCTCTAACTTTCCAGAGCCCCTGTACTATGTCTACTGAATTTGGGTTACCCAAGAACTACAACTGTATTCTTTGTTCTTTTTGAAAATGCCACTGTTCAGTGAAGACTTTAGCTCTAGACGACAGTCTGTCAAACAATCGTTTCACGAGAAGGCCACAAATCCCATCCATGCCAGCAATCGCCAAGAGCGTCAGACTTTTTTATGGATGTTTCTTTATTTGATGGATCCTAGTAAATTAAAAGTTATGTCTGTTGGCGCTTTTGACTCCCTGGTATGTAAAATCACAAAGTAAATTGTCCGAATATTATGCACTCGAAATTTCTTCCCGTTGTTGCCGGATACAAAATCGCCAACTTCAAAGTTTTCTCCGGCCCAATAATGAATACCTATAAAAATCATTTCTTTATTTTTCATGCCTTTTATGCTATGCAACAGTTGCACAAACCGCATATTGTCACAGGGTTGTCTGTGTGTTTGTTTGTGTATTTGTGTGTGTGTGTCCGATGGAAGTTGCCCCAACTTTCAACTCGGAAACCACAAAAGCTAGGGGGCTGAAGGGGACTATTCCCCGTCCACGTGTGACCCCACAAACTTAATTTCAGCCTTTCACTGCCCCTTAGTATCGCATACTACTCCGTGAACGTTTGGGCGGGCAAAATTATCTCGGCAATTATGAAAGCCTGGAAGCTGAAATTTAGGATAATGACCACTAACGACGTGTGACTCCGTGGCCTTAATTTCAGCCTTCTCACGCGCCTGGGTATTATGTACGACTCCGTGAAAATTTTGGCAGGAAAAGTTATTATCTCGGGAAACGCAAAAGCTTGAAGCCAACTTATGGTAATGTTCCCTGTCCACATGTAACCAATAGCAACTTTAAATTCAGCCTTTCCGCGCTCTCGAGTATTACATACGGCCCCGTGAAAGTTCCGGCAGGGAAAATTATTATCTCGAGAACTATAAAGGCAAGGAAGCTAAAATTCTGAGGTAATGTGCCCTGCCCAATACAACCCCGCATACTTGAATCAGCCTTCCCCTGCCCCGGGTACCACGTACGACCAGTGAAAGTTTCAGTGGGGAAACTATTATTGTGGAACTATGGAAGCTAGGAAGCTGAACTTTTAAGGTAATGACCACTGCCCACTTACGACCTCGCAAATTTAAATTCAGCCCTGTCACGCGCTCAGTACCGCTCGTAATTTTTGGCAGGGAAAATTATCTTAGAAATCTCGAAGGCTCGGAAGCTGAAATTCTAAGGTATTGTCCCCTACCTACGTACGATCCCGCAAATTCAAATTCCGCTTTTGCGTACGTCTGGGTTTCAACGTCACCGTGAATGTTTTGGCGGGGAATTATCGAAGACCAAAAGAGGTGGGTGCCACACAAACTGAAATTTAGCTCCGAGTATGCCGAGGTCTCACGCACGATCACTTAGAACTTTTGGCGCGAAAATCATTTAAGAGTCAGAAAATTAGGAGATTGATTTTGAAAGGATGTTTAATGCACAAGGTTTTAGCGGAAAATATCACAATTTAGGAACTAGACAACATTTCAGTTACTTCTGCACAGACCAGACTGCAAGCAATGCAAATCCTTAGCTGGCAAACATTTGCGGGCGGAACTGTGCAAAACGCATGATCGCACTCGCCAGCCTGATGAGCGCCGCTATTATTCCTACGTCGCTTACTGCAATCAAGCCTTAACTATGTCATCAGGATGAAAGGGAAACGAAAGAGGCTGGAAGGAAGCTTCTCTGCTCCTGCAAAACAGAACCGACATTTCTAACAGCCTAGAGAAGGGAGATGGGAGGAAAAAATTATTAGAGAGAAAACTTTTTTTGGACAAAAAAAGGCAACTGCAAAAACTCGGCTCGGCTCGTCTCGGCTGGTGATCTGTGGTGCTTGGGCCTTCCAGTGCTTTGCTTTAACATCCCTACCAACATTATTTCGCGGCACCACTCGCTAGAAATTTGCCAGACGCGCTGGGTAACGCTGCCAGTATCTGGCGGCTGGATCGCGTGGCCGGGGTTGATGGGTGAGAGGATTGGACGCGGCTAGGGGGTGTGATTGGTAGTTGCCCAGATACAGCTCAAAGGACGCGAGTGGGACGAGGATAGTGGGGAGGAATGAAGTAAAAGGTTAGGAGTTCAGGACAATAAACTGTGATAGTGACTGGAG